AGAGTGGGTGAGGACCGAGCACTCTGGTGCTGCTGAGAGGTGAGGACTGACAGAAGAGACACAGAAGACCAGTGTGGAGATGGCCACAGATAATTCATCCTGGTGCCTGGGTGTCCTCAGTGTACTTCTTCAGTAAAAGGGCACACAGCAGCCTCTCAGGGGGAAATGCATGGGTCTGGCATTTGGGAAGAGGGAGAGCCAGGCAAGTGAGAAGGGAACATCAGAGCTGGTGTGGGAGAAGACATGATGAAGAATGAACTAGGTCGGCACAGGCCTTCTGCCTGAATCCCTGCCTTTCATTTCACTTAGACAAGGAGTCAAGCCCACTCTGGATGTGTCCCAGAGCAAAGAATCATCATCTTCAGCCCCTATAGCTGGGGAGAAAGTGCAAACAAGAGGCAGGAGGGAAGCCATAGTCCCCTTCAAAACAGGGCAGGTGCCATACCAAATCATGTGCTATGGTGAAAGGAGAACATATCAGCAGAGGATGGCTAGAGAATTCTCAGCTCAAGGATGGGTTCGCTCAATCCCTCCCTTAAGGACAGGGTTTCTCCCGTTTCAGCATTTGATCCAAATAACTTGATGTGAAGGGCTAGCTAGGGCATCAGGTTTAGCTGCACCTCCAGCATCAAGACACGAGGTGGCAGTAGCTTCCCTTCAATCAAGAAGGAAAGGGAGAGGAGGGACGGATCCAGAAACAACAACAACAAAAAAATCAGCTCCAGAAAATGCTAAATGTTTCCTGGATTGTAGAATCACACCCAATGAGAAACACTGCATTAGGGTTAGTTAAGAAACCATCAAGGCGTTCCTGAGAGAAGATGGTTGAGGATATTGCCTTTTGCTCCCTCTCCTTGCATCCCAGGTCTCGGGGTGCAAGGAGGTGACACCCTCTTGAGTACCTATAGATGTTGGCAGCCCTGGATTCACATAAGCTTTTGCAGAGAATCCTAGAGTCCCATTCATTGTCTTCTTCTGGCATTTTGGGGGCTCCCAGGGCATCTTTTTGAGGGCTTGAAAGAAGTGCCTTTGGAATCCAGTGCTGACTTTCCTGGAGATACCCTTCACCCCACATACTGTGAGAGCATCTCCTCGCTGGTCTCCATGGAATTGAGACCAACATTAATGCCAGGAGGTAAGGCAGTTGGTCCTCTCTCACCAGCATTCTTTGTATAGACGCTGTCACAGTAATGTCTCCCTGACCCCAGGCTCCTGTGTCAACCCTGCTCCAGCTCCTGAGGCCCTACTTTCCTGCTTCATGTGGGTCACAGGCCCCCCTCTCAGTTCTGTCCACTCTCAGGTTCCCACCCTAAGCCAGGCCCAGCCTACTTAACCCAGGACTGAAGTAGGATAGAAGAAATTTTAAAATAGAAATAAAAGTGGCATAAAGGAAGGTTACGAATGTATATTCAATCTGAGTTTCCACATACTTTTCCAGACCTGTCACTCCCTGAGCCAGTCTGTCTCCCAGGTCTGTCATTTTCCAATGTTTGGGAAATCTGTAAAGCTTAGAGGTACCATAAAATCATTCATTTATTATAATAACTTTACATAATGTTAATTAACCCACCAACAAATTGATTAAGTAAATAGAGATAGGGCATTTTAAGAAATCTATAATGTAGGGAACTTTCCAGCATTATCTCTTAATCAGATAATGAAGACCACATCATCTCAAGGATCCTAAGAATGTCCAGACCAACATAATCCATCTTGTGATCACCCAACTATTGTCATTTTTACATACTTTCTCATACCCAGTTCTCACCCAGTTTCCTTTAAAAGAAGATCCAGGAACCCCCAAAATGCATCTCTCACTCTCCAGATGGCCCACATTCTCCCTTCACTGTGTATTCTTTGCTTTCCTAAATAAATCCCTGTGCCTTTCCTGACATGTGAGGAAATGCTTTTTCACTATGTATGTCAAAGACTCCCACTAGTCCAGAGAGTTCAATTCCACCCTTCCAAGGATAGTAGATCTGGATGGGACTTCATTTCCAGGAAAATTTCAAGGACCTCGGGGGGTCTCAAAGCAGGCCCTGACAGGACTATTTCCACCCAAACCTGAAGTGCCAAAACTTCTGACTTTGTATAACAAACTGGAGTTTGCAGTCTTTTCTCCATTCTGAATTACAATAACACTGTCATTAAGGGTCTTTCTCATAGACAACAGTATCACTATCTATCCAAGCTGGCTACCTATGCTGAGTTCACAAAATCTGACTATTCCAATAACTTGAGAAAATGTCAAAGAAATCATGCAAACACACAGAAGTACCTTTTCAAAATCCAGGGATGGCTCTGTGACCTTAGGGGTCTGTGGAAAGAGAGAGAGCCACTAGAATTCTTTATTCTTATATAGGGGACACACAAGGGAAGGTTCTATGGAACATTTTATCCCCAAAAGGGCAAAGGGGTAGGGTTACAAAGGAACAGGTGGGTGTAATTCAACCCCATGGGTGACGCCCACTCCTGGAGCCACACATTCCTTATCAGTGGAGATAAAGCCCAATGTATTGCAGGGTGTGATAACTCTTCAATACCCCTTTACTCAGGACTTCAAGGTGTGCACATAGCTTCTGTTCAGAGTGGCTCCCAACACAGCAGCAATAGCATTTGTTTTTGTTCTAAATGTTTTTACTTGAATGAATAGCTGTACCAAACAAGAACTTACTTTACCTACCCCAGATTAAAATAGCATGATAGGTGCACAAGTCATTTTCCAGGACAGTTCTAATATGTGAATATTCTCCTATTCCTGGTGGTTGGGATAACTTTACATAAACAGTTATTTTTATACACTCTATTAACCCACAAATGCAAAAATTACACCAAAGGAAGTGGGGGTCTTCCTTACAAGTGTGGGGCAGTACGTTTTATAATTGAGAAAGAGGAGAGAAACATTGATGCTACCCACATCTAAAAACACCAAATAATTGAGAATAGAATTTTCTATCCCTCCTTTCTCCCTTGACAACAGGCAGTAAGGGCTCTGGCACCAAGAAGCAGTCTTTACACTGACTGTTTACAAAATGTTTCCACACATGACATTCATCCTTAGGGTTACAAATAACAGTCCATTCACTTTGAAGAAACATAAGCCTACTCCTTCCTGCTCCCTCTTGCCTCATGCCCCTATCCCTGTCCAGGCTTGATCATTAGCAGTGTAGAGGTCTTCTTTCCAGCTGCTGATCTACTGTCCCAAGCCCAGGTTGGTTGAAAAGCCTTTGTCCACACTGAGCTCCACTGGATGTCTGAGGATTAGGCACATCATGATAGCACTGATCTAGAGACTGTTCTGCTTCTTTGTTGTCCTTGTGTTTTCATATATTACCCTTTACCAGATGTATAGGTAGCAAATGACTGTAGCTGTCACTATTGTCCTCAGGATCATGTGGCTCAGGAAGGAAGGGCTGGGTGGCCCAGGTGCAGGGTCAGCTGTCTTCCAGATCTATGGGATACCTGGTTCTGCTGCCACCTGGTCCTGGCTGGTGTATCCATTCATGTCTCTCTTAAACACAAATAAGACCAGAAAGACAGGACCTACTGACAAAGGAGACTTTACTCCACTGACAGCTCTCCATCTTTGTCCTTTGAGTCCTCTTCCAGGATGGCAGTGGGGTTGGGCCAAAGTATCTGGAAATGTCGGGTAGAATCAGAACACAGTCTGAGGCAGAATTTTCCTAACTTTCTCCTGCAAGGCCACCACCTCCCTCTCCATTTTCTCCCTCAGCCATGGCTGTCCCAGAGGCTATGATTCTACCCATCAACAGGAACAGGGGCCTTTTAAAGAGATGATACATAGGCTACATTCCACGTGTTCTTTGTCGGAGTTGTAATTCACTTGTTAACTTGGGAAATAGTCATTTCTGAGATCCATCCCCAGAGTCTGGATTACTTCACTTTCAGGTGGGTGAGTGCTCAAGGACAGATATTCCTGTCTAGGATGGGGAAGAAAGGTAATCCTTTTTCCCCTGAGATGGGGGAGAGGGAGACATTAGGGAGGAGGAAGAGAAAGAAACATGTCCATTTTAAAAATCAGTTGCAGTGGAAGAGCAGCAATATTCAAAGCACAAGGTGGTCCACTGATGCAAATAGAAGAGGCAAAAATAACCATTCTTATTTTGTTCCTGATTTTAGAGAAAGCCTTCGTTTTTTTATCACTGAGTGTGATGTTAACTGTGTGTCTTTCATATGTGGCATTTATTATGTCAAAAAAGGTTCATCGTTTGGTTTTTTTGATCATGAAAAGGTGTTGGATTTCGACAACTGATTTTACTACATTAGTTGAAACGATGATGTAGGGACTTTTCCCCTTTATTCTATTAATGTGGTATATTACATTAATTTCCCAATATTGAACCATTCTTCATTCTGGAAAGAAGTCTCACAGATTAAGGTGTTTAACCTGTTTTAAATGCTGAATTGAGTTTGCAGCTATCTTGTTGATTTTTGCATTTAAATTGATAAGGGATATTGACCTGTTCTTCGTTTGCTTTTTTCCCCCATAACATTTTTCCTCTTAAATGCCATATAATCGTGTTCATGGCTTATTGTCTGCTTTCTATACTCTTAAGGAAATTCTCCAGGGCAATCAACTTCCTTTAGTTTGCTGAGTATTTTAAACCACTTCCTGTAGTGCTTGGTACATAGCAGGTGTTCTGTACTCATTCGCAGAATGACTCCATTGGAAATGGGTCTGGTTCTGTCTGTTATCTAGTGTCCTCACCATCATTTAGGCAGATACATACCTACAAGATAACGCCTACAGGGAACCTGTTTCCCTTCTGGAAGAACTTTGTACCCAGGGTCCAGAAGCTCACGGAGAGTGTAAACACACCCAGAAGCGCTAGAGGGAGCTCCGTTGGGGCCTGGGCACCCTACTGCAGGGCCCCTCAGCTCAGGCAAATGCAGAAAACTACACTTCCCAGAATCCTCGCATGGACTACATTTCCCAGAAGCATTAGCGGCCGGCTCTGCCTGCCTATCCCCACCCTCGCCCCGCCCCGCCCTCCTGGACCTTCGGGGCCGCGGAGTGTCTGCCGCCGGGTTTCCGGCTGTAGAGCTGAGGTCGCTGGCGGCCGGGGTCCAGACGCCAGGTTGCGGCGAGCGGGGCGGTTCCGGAGTATCCCGCATGCGGAGCGCGGCCTGGCGAGGCATCACCCCGGAGCCCTGAGCCTGAGGAGGTGAGCGGCAGAGGGCGGTGGGAGGCGGACCCGGGCCTCCGAGGATGCGGCGCCCGAGTGAGGGGAACAGGCCCGCAAGGTGCGTGGAGAATCCTTTGTGGGACGAGAGACACCCTGGCGCCTATTGCCTGCCTCCGCCAGCTGTCCCGTGACGTCGCCCCAGGCGCGTCAGGTGGGGCACTTGGCCCAGGTTTTCGGCAGTCCCACCTCCGGCTTCCGCAGATCCTTCCACAGCGCGTTCCCTGGGTTCCCTGCCCTGGCCCGGCGTTAAAGCTCTGGAAATTGATTTCTTGACAGCGGACAGAGAAACTGGGAAAAGCTTGTGGAGGAAAATTGCGCAGGGGTGCGAGTGAGATTGGAGCAAATGTACCGAGCTTGGAATCCTGGTCCCATCCTCACTGGCTTGTGGGGAATTGGAGCAATTGGCCCCGCTCTGTTCTTAGTTTTCTGATCCATAAAATTGGGTGCTAGCAACGCTACCTGATGATGTGGGGCTAAATAGTGTAAAGCTAATGGTGCCTGGCACTTGGTGAGGCTCAGTGAGTCCCTGCTGTGATGGAATCCAGTCCCCTTCTCCCAGTCTTGCTTCTGGAAATTCTTAGAGCCATGAAGAGTCAAGCCCTGGACTAGGACACCAGCCCATGTCTCTGATTCTGTCCACTCCTAGCTCCTTCTGACATTCCTCTACAAACATGTGGAGTCAGAACTGCTGGTTCTGAGGGGTGGAAAACTGAAGGTCTTCCTCATGGTATCTTTTTCTTCTTTTAGATCTCCTGGAGACTGCACCCATCCTGGAGAGAAGAGCCCAAAAAGAGGACATGGCTCCTGAGCAAAGGGAATCAAGGTCTCAGGTGAGCTCATTGCCATATCAGTTCATAGTGGATGGATTTTTTTGTTGTTGTTGTTGTTGTTGTTGTGTTGTTGTTGTTGGTGGTGGTGGTGGTGGTTGGATGGTTTTATCCCTCTTAACTGAAGTTCTAAAGCAATACAAACCTCACTAGGATTTGGAGCCTAAGTCCTGTGAATTTAGGGGAGCCAGTCCACCTTTACAAGAAGATTTCTGTAGGGAATACTCCCCACACGTATGAACACATGTCCAGTGTTCATTTTTTAGTTGATACATTTATTCACTCATCTTAATCCATTGTGTGATCACTAATTTGACGGGTAAGATGTCACATAACTTTATATCACTAGGGACAAAATAAACATACACAACATGATAATATTCCTCTCTGGCCCTACATCTTTCATTCATCCTTGTTTTCCTCCCTGCCCTTAACAAAATGCTTTTCTTTTTATAGTCACCCCTGAGCATCCTCGTGATACCTCCTCCAGATTTCTCCAGCCCATAGTTTTTTTATTTTTTCTCCCTCTCTATTCTAAAGATCAAGTGCTTTGCCTGTACTCTTCTCCTGAAAACTAATCTCAACCTGCTATTTTCAACCCTGTGTTGGGAAAATGGGGGAGGTAACATGACCTGTCAACAAAGGATAGCCATGTTGCAGGGGACACAGGTGGAGGGATCTCTTTCTCTGAGGGCAAAGAGGAGAATCCTCAAGAAATATAAGGAGGGATCTATGAGGTATTGGTGGTGAAGAAATAGAACATGCAGTGGTTAGAAAGTGGGACTTTCAAGCCACACAGCCAGGTTTTTACTGTTGGTGTGCCTTGGGCAAAAATAATTCCACTTCTCAGTGCCTCAGTTTCCTCACCAGTAAAAGAAATAGCAGCATGCCTACCTCCTCAGTAGGTGAGAGGATGTCATGAGTTAGTGCATAGGAAGTGTTTAGATCTGGGGGGAGCACACAGTGACAGCTAATTGTGTGTGGTTATTGTGGTAGCTGAAAAATATAATATTAATAAAAATATTAATGTTAATAGATATATACTATATATGTGTGTGTGTATATATATATATATATATACAGTGTTTCTGGGATGCAGAAAATACTGTCCTTTTTCTACTCATCTTCATCTGTCATTAACAGTTGTTATTTATTGAGTGTCCAGCATGTTGAGGAATGTGAGAAGGCTTTGAGTTTGTTCTTATTTTCACAACAGTACAGCAGTTAGTATTTCTGTTTTACGTATATATGAGGAAACCAAGGTTCAAAAAAGTCAACCCAAGTTTATGACCACAATCCATGCTTGAACTGTCCAGCTGCTCTTCTGATACATCTTTTAGAACATAGACAGACCCAGCCATGTGTTACCAGGGCACTTTAGCAATATGGGATCATCTTTGGACCCATAAGCATGGTGGGATTTGATTTTTCAGGCAACAACCAGTACCTGCCATTGTGTGTTTGAGCTGTTCTGTTTTCTTTAAGCTTTTCCCATTCCATTCCCAGAGATCGAGGTTGCTCTCCTTCTCAGAACCTTCTCTATCCACATGTGTCAGTGAATCCCCTACCACATCTTATTCCTGCTTGCTGCCCATGTGTCAGTACCACACTATTTGTAAAGGATCAGAGAAGGTACTGGGTTCATAGTTGGAAACTTGTTCGGGTCTTGCTGTTGCCACTAGAAACGCATGTGACCTGGGGTATTGGCTACCCTGAACCTTATTCTCCTTGTTTCTAAAGTGAACTAAGAGATGGCATGTGATCCCACTACACAGCTTTTTTTTTTCATTGTGCAAACTATTTCATGCATTTTCCTTATCTGCTGATTGTATTATTAAATTCTTTGTGGGTGAAGATTCTTTATTGTATTCCTTCCATATACCATTAAATTATCTTATCATATACATATTGCATGCTCATCAGGAAAAGCTCAAAGAATAAATATGTGTATGAGCAGAAAAAATCTTTTTCATATGCTATAATCTCACCACACCATTCTGATACCAAGAATATGGGAGTTTTTCTTCACTCACCAAGTAAGGAGTGCTGCAATGGTGGACCCCAACTGAGCATCCTCTAATTCAGTACAGTTCTGACATTGTCTACCTGGAGGTAATGTCAGACCCCACAAAACTTTCTCCTACTTCAGATCCCAGTTGCAAGTCTGGGTCTCCAGTACTTGACCAACTGACTACACATTGAGGTTCCCACGACTTCCTTCCTTTGGCTTGATTAATTTGTTAGAGCAGCTCACAGAACCTAGGGAAACACATTTACCTGTTTATTGTAAAAGGTATTAAAAAGGATTACAAATGTAGAGGTGCATAGAGCAAGGTATGGGACAAGGGATATAGAGCTTCCACATCCCTTCTGGATGTACCAGTCTCCAAAAAACTCCATATGTTCAATTTTCAGATTCTAAATCCTGCCAGTTGGGTTTTATGGAGACTTTGTATAGGCACATTGATTAAATTATTGACCCACTTAACCTTGAGCCCCTATCCTGATGATATCCAGAAGCCTCCTACCATGGTCAGCTTGTTACTGGAGCTAGGAGCAGGACTAGAGATGGAGTCAGGTTAAAGTTGTACACTTCAGTGTTTTTTCTAGGGCTTGCACATTGCCCTCCTATCATGTTACTCATTGTGGGCAAGAACATGGGATATGAACCAAGGGCCAAGGGAGCACACTTATCCTCTCTGTTCCTTTGTTTTTTCTTGTATATAATGGGGTCAATGGTAGTTCCTTCTTCATAGGATTGTGGTGAACATCAAATAGATTATACACAGAAGATTAACATAAAGCTCTCAGAGCAGTTATTGGCCAATAGAAAGCGTATAATAATTGGAAGCTATTTTAATTTTCATAATAACTATCCTCAAGCTTGACACAACAGATACTACCTTATTTTACCTAGTCTGTATCAGCATTTAGGTTATTTCCAACATGATAAATATCCTTATGCATGCAATTTGCGCATTCTTCTTTACAGTCCAAATATGGTAATTGGTAAGTAAGAAGATACCCATTTCTAAGCTTTTTAAAAGATATTATCAGATGTCCATCAGAAGGATTATTCTAATTAACTCCTTTGCTGATTACATTAATCCTCTATATGCCTCTCATAGTGGTTAACACAAGATCAGATTTTTCCTGCTTCTCTGTTTTTATCACTGGATGAATATTCATTAAACGAATGAGTGGCCTCTTGAGAACCTTGAATAGTATCAGCAGGATTTCATGGTAGCCTGTTTAACTCCATTTCCTCCATCTACATGCTGTGGAGGGTTGGTTCTGGGTGAGCTGGAGTGTCTTGTTCTTACAGGTATCAGTAACATTTGAGGATGTGGCTGTGCTCTTTACTCGGGATGAGTGGAGAAAGCTGGATCCTTCCCAGAGAAGCTTGTACCGGGAGGTGATGCTGGAGAACTATAGTAACCTGGCCTCACTGGGTAAGGAAATCCATTGTGGACACAGTTCAGAAATGGGGAGATCTCAGCACCTGCTTCCCTGAATAAAAGCTGAGCGTCATCAAAAAAGTTTAGCTGAGCTTTGCCTTAGGATTATACAAATCAAATATCTATAAATATTGAGAATTGAGGTGTAGAATTGCCCCATGTATGGGAATGAAGGGGGTTGGTGTTGATTATTACCCCCTCCATCAACACAGTTTCACATTTGAAATTCCTTCACAGTTTAGGCAACATTTTCCTATGATTTTTTAAAATTTTTTTTAGTTCTAGATGGACACGATACCTTTATTTTATTTATTCATTTTTTTATGTGGTGCTGAGGATCAAACACAGTGCCTCACATGTGCTAGGCAAGTGCTCCGCCACTGAGCTACAACCCCAGCCCTTTCCTATAATTTTTGTTTGTTCTGCTCATCCCTGAGCAGAAGCATACCTTAGCCTTCCTGACTAACCTACCACTTCCCTTCTCTACTTCTCTTTTCCAGCCAAATGAACACTGTTAACTCTGTCTCTGAAAAGAGATCATAGACTGTTTTGGTTTTTTTTTTTTTTACTTTAAACAAGATACTTGGTACATAATCTTCCCCATAGATACCTGCTTATAAGTTTTAATTCAGTCTACACATCTGACATTTTCCACAGAAAGATGAGTCTTCCTGTTTATCATATTTCTCTCATATACAATGAATCTTACCAAAATCATGTTCTATAAGTCACTTACTTTTTACTTAATACAACTTTCCATCTTTGGGGTACATCCTAAGCATCCCACAGAAGATCTTTGTATCATCCTCAGATGTGGGATACTATAATTCAAAATATGACCAAGTCTTTTTTACTTATGTGTATATTTATTTATTTTTATATTGCCTATGAGCAGGACCCCCATTCACCAAACCAAAGGTGATCTCCCTGTTGCAACAAGGAGAAGATCCCTGGAAGGTAGAGAAAGAAAGTCCCGGAGACTCTTCAATCGGTGAGTGGGCAAGCTTCAGGTACCCAGGAATCACTGTAGGCTGCTTAAGAAGAGGGTGCAACTTGCAGTGTTGATTGGGAAACTTCCTTTAGAATTCTCAGGCCTCAAAAATGATGGGGAAGAAAATAGCTTTACAAATGGAATCCAAAAAGAAGCTCCCCTTCTAACAGCAGTTAAGAGTGACTTCTTCAGAGGGAGGAATGAATAAGAATATCAGTCAATAGTCGGTCTTATTCAAACACAGGAACTACACTAGAAGGCTAACTGTATACATATTAATGAGCATCAATAAGGCCTATTTCAGTTGGAAAAAACCTTGAGACTCACCTGGGGGAACACTTCAGCCAACTCCTTTGTCTCAGAGGTAGAAAACCTGAAGGTGGGGGTGAACCCTAAAGGAAGTTATAGGAAGAAAGGTGGAGGTCAACCCAGATGGAAAGGAAGACAAAGAGCCTTGATACTTTGTTAGTGCCTATTTTACATACATTTTGCTCCATGTTCTGCCCAGAACCATATATAAACTCCTAAGCTGGCACACCAAAATGGGTTTTTCTGCAATTGGGCCTCCTTCCCACTGTGGGACTTCTTTAACTTAAAAAAATCCTGCTCTATTTACTCTTAGAAAAAAAATAAATAAGTGATGGGGAAGGGAAAACCCAGGCTCCTAGATGCAATCTTCCTCTTTTTATTCCTCCTGTTATTTCTAATAAGGGCTGTGTTTTCATGTATTCCTTCAACTCCCCCTCCTCAGCTCTAACGAACTGCCCTAAAGGAAAATTATTAGTAGATTACTGAGTAAAAGGGGGTAGGCTGCTAGAGTTGTTTTCTACTCCATTTCTCTTGAGGGATGGCCCTCCTTCCTTAAAGGTGTATATCAGGTGGGAATTCTAGGGGAGCTGTGGGTGCAGCTGTGCTGTCACCTGCCTGGACTCTAGTAACCTCAGAATAGCCCTTCCTGCACACCCCTGGAGCACAATTGAAAGACCTGGAGATCTACCTGTTCTTGGAAGTACTTCAGATTATTAACTGAGGACCAGAACCAAAATCCTAACCCTTGAACAGCCAGTAGCAGAAAGCTCATGCTCCTGGGGCAGAACTCTCTAGAACCTCCAGTTCACAAAATATACTTTTACAAAGTTATTTTCACTTCAGAACTATTCACAAAGAGGTAGAAAGTAAAGCAAACCTACAAGAAAAACAACTTCCATCATCCCTGGGCTTGTCAGTTTTACACTGATAATGGAAAGACATGGCTTAGTAGTCTTCATCTTTCATTTGGCTGTGTTGGTTATGAAATGAGCCCAAAGCATCAACACTTGAGTTGTATTTTTCTGGAATAGATGTGCTAGGAATAATGAGGTTAAACCGACTTGTATATCTCTTAAGTTTGGTTCATGCCTAAATGTGAAAATGTTTCAGAAATTTAAAAATTTTTAATCCATTTCCTTCCAATGAAAAACTGATGTCCTCTGTGAAATTTTCTGGGGCAGCACCTTCATGAAGGAAGCATGCATTTTCCCAATTTCTGCAAGGTGTCAGAGGACTTATTAGCAACCCCAGTGAAATAGCCTGTAATGGTTTTTAAAAGTCGGCCAAAGTGAGTACATAGTATTCAGCACCCCTGTTTAATTTGTATGAGTGTTGTTCCTATCTCCCTGCTCTCTCCAACAAAGACCAGAGAACTGGCCCTGCACTTCCCTTACTACCACCACATCATCTCCTTGTAGCCGCCCAGAAGGATCTATTTAAAAGGAAAACCATGCTGTATTGTTCTCATGCATAAAATCCCTATTGGCTTCCACCACAAGAAGCACAATCCAGAGTCCTCATCACAGCCTTCAGAGATCTACCTGTTCTAGCCCCAGCTACCTCTTCACCTTTATCTACTCTCACCCTGCCCTTTATTTGAGGATCCTAACCAGGCTGACTGCCACCTCAGGGCCTCTGCATTTGCTTTCCTTTTGGGGACCATTCTTTCTGTTGACCACAAATACATATAACTTACTTCTTTGTTGCAGAGATTTCTTGAATAGACAGTGCATCTAAAACAGCCTTCTATTTCTCCATGTTTTTATCACCTTAGCATGCTTTTTTTTTCCTTCAGCATGCTATTAATATTAGTATTATTAATGATCTTTCTCTTCCTTTGCATCATAGGCTACCTTATGCAGTGTTTCCTGTTTTGTTCATTCCCTTTTCCCCAACACAACACCTCAGTGGCTGGCCAGTGTAGGTTTCCACTTACACAGTGAATGCAGGAGTGACTTGAACTAGATTAGTGGTGATGGGAGACCAATCCAGGAACAGTTGGGAGATAAAAGCACATCTTAGATTATATATGGAAAACAGAAGAAGTGGAGTTGTGAGGGATTCTTGCTTGGTTTCTGGCTTTTTGGGGGATAGACAGTGACATCATTCAAGGAGTTGATAATATCCAGAAGGAAAACTAATTTAGAAGATGATGGAAATTTATGCTGTTTTAAGTGTTTATTTCGCCAGTCGTGGTGGTGCCTGGCTGTGATATCAGTGGTTCGGAAGGCTGAGCAGGAGGATAGCAAGTTTAAAGCCAACCATAGCAAAAGTGAGGTGCCAAGCAACTCAGTGAGACTCTTGTCTCTAAATAAAATACAAAACAGGACTGGGGATGTGGCTCAGTGGTTGAGTACCTCTGAGTTCAACCCCCAGTATCCCTCTCTCCCCAGAAAAGTGTTTATTTTGAGACAATTGATTTATATGCAATTATAAGAAGTGCTTTAGAGGGATTCCATGTCCCATGTGCCCAATTCTAAAAACATAGTATAATACTGTATCACAACCAAGATATTGACACTGATACAATGAAGAAATGAAGAATTCCTCAGTCTGTAAAAGGATGCCTCCTGATACCCTTTTTTAGACACACCTACTTCATTCCTTGTTTATTGTCTCTATACCCCACCTTCCCTCAACCTTAATCCTTGGTAACCACTATGAGTTTTCTATTTGTATAATTTTGTCCTTTCAAGACTGCTATATGTGGATATAACTCAGTGGTAGAGTACTTGCCTAGCATGCATGAGGCCCTAGATTCAATCCCCAATACCACAAAAAAAGAATAAAAGCTATATAAATAAGATAATACAGTGTTTACAGCCTTTTAGAGTTGGCTCCCCACCCACACATGCACTTAGCATTATTCTCTGGAGGTTCATCCAGGTGATATATGCATCAGTTCTTCATTCCTTCTGATTGCTGCATTGTATGCCATGGAATGGCTTTGTCACAATTTATAGAACTATTCCCTTGTTGGAGGACATCTGGATTGTTTCCAGTTTGGGGCAGTTACTAATGAAGCTGCTATAAACATTCATATACAAGTTTTACACAAAAATACATAAGTTTTTATTTTTTGTCTAAGAGTGCAATTGCTAGGTCATCATGGTAGTTAAATGTTTAGTTTTGAAGACAGGTAAATTGTGTTTTAGAATGACTGAACCATTTTATGATGCACTAGCAATGTGTGAGTAATCCAGTATTGCTGCATACTTGCTGACATTTTACCACATCACTACTTTTTATTTTAGCCATTCTGATGGATATATGATCAAATACATAGTGATTTTCATTTGCATGTTCCTAGTGTCTGTTGATGTTGGACTCAACATATTTCCATATTCTTATTTACCTTTTGTATGTCTTCTTTGTATAAAAGATACATGTATTTTCTTGTAAATCTTTCTGTATAAAAATATCTGTTTATGTTTTTTGTTCATTTTCTACTTAAATTGTTTTGGGGTTTTGTTTAGTTGTTTTACTGTTGAGTTTGAGAATTCTTACTTTCTTAATAGTAGTAATTTTTCAGATGTGTTTTGCAAATATTTTCTCTAAGTCTGTAATTTGCCTTTTCATCCTGTTAACTGGGTCTTTTATAGAACAAAAGTGTTAATCCTGATGAGGTCCAATTTATCAGTGTTTCCTTTTACGGTTTGTCTGTTTGGTATCAAGTGGAAAAACTCTGCCTATTCTTACATCTTAAAGATTTTCTTCTGTTCCCCCACCACCACCAAAAGTGTTAAAATTTTACATTTTACATTTATATTCATGACCCTTCTTAAGTTTTCTTAAATTATTATTAGATGTGAAATTGTGTTAAGGTTCGTTTTTTTGCTGTGTATATTCAATTGTTCCTCCATTGTTTGTTGAAGAAGCTATTTTTCTTCCACAGAAATCTTTAGTACCTTTGTCAAAAAACAGTTGAACATTGTTGTTAGGATGTTTATTTCTGGGTTTTCTTTTCTGTCCAGTTGATCTATATGTCTGTTCCTCTGACAATACCAGTGTTGATCACTATAACTGTACATAGGCCTTAATGTATGTATATAGTGGTTACTCTCAGTATTTTTCCAAAATTGTTTTAAGCTATTCTAGTTCCTTTGCTTTTTCATACAAATTGTAGAATAATGTCTACAAAGAAAAAAAAATTTGCTTGGATTTTGATAGGAATGACAGTAAACCTGTATATCCATTTGAGGACAGTTGAGATCTTTATTATAGTGAATATTCTAATCCACATGGCATGTCTGTTTTTTTAGCTTTTTAAATTTTTCATTGGTGTTTTGAAATTTTTTTGTGAGTGCTACATGTATTTTGTTAGATCCCTTGCAAGTATTTTTGAGCAATTGTAAATGGCATTATACTTTTAATTATAGTGCTCACTGTTCAATGCTATTATGTAGAAATATAATTAATTTTTCTAAGTTAATATTGTTCCTGTAACCTTCCTTCTACATAATGTATTACAGATTTCTTAGGATTTTTAACATACTGTTACCTACAAGTAGGGACAGTTTCTTCCTTTCTGATATATGCACACACTTTTGTGTGTGTGTGTGTATGTATGTGCGTGTTTTATTTTCTTTCCAGTTGCACTGACTAAACCATGCTGAATAAGAATGGTAAAAGCAAGCCAGGACTATTAGCACATGCTTATAATCCCAGTGATTCAGGAAGCTGAGGCAAGATGAACACAAGTTTGAGGCCAGCCTGGCCCTGTCTCAAAATAAAAATAGCTAGGGATGTAGCTGTGTGGTAGAGTACCCCTGGGTTCAATCCCCAGTAACTCCTCCTCTCCCACCCCCACAAAAAAAAAAAAAAAATGTAGTTACAGCAGACATTCTTACCTTGGTCCCAATTTTTGGGGAAAGCATTTAGTGTTTCCCCAGTAAGTATATAAGCTGTCAAGTGTTTTTAGATATCGTTAATTTAAGAAACTTCTCCTTTCTCATTTTTAGTGATTTTATATTTGTATATCATGAATGGTGGCTGGATTTTGTCAAACTTTTTTTATTTTGGGGTCATTGTTGTTGTTACTGGGGATTGAACCCAGGGGTGCTTAACCACTGAGTCACAGCCCCAACCCTTTTAATATTTTATTTAGAGACAGGGTCTTGCTGAGTTGTTTAAGGCCTCAATCGATTGCTGAGGCTGGCTTTGAACTCGATATCCTCCGGCCTCAGCCTCCGGATCCTCTGGGATTGTAGGCATACACTACCATACCTAGCAATAACTTACATTGTTCTTAATTCTCATATTTTTAGCAATAATACTGTTATGTTATTTTGAAATTACAATGTAGATTATAAGAAAAACAAATGAATAATTTTGTTCATATTAGAATCCCATTTTTAACACAAGAGAAAAGGGATGAGAATATAAAATAAGATAGGTGCAAGGCCTATAATGCTAAGTTTGAATTGAAAATATAGAAGAAATTTACTCCTATTGCAAGGGAAGATAGATAAGTGTAAGAAGGCTCAATTTTTAATTTGAATGTGGGAAATTTCAAGCATATATAAAAGTAAGGAGATAGTATACTGAATCCCCATTTGTCCATCACTCATTTCAACAGTTATCAACTCATGGTCATTTTTCTTCCATTGATACCAGTGGTTCTGTACTAGGGGGCTCTTTTGTCATTTGCCAATGTCATGAAAGATTTTTGCTTATGATACGCTGAGTGGGAGTGTTCTATCAGGAAGGTACTAGTGGCATCTAGTTGGTAGAGGCCATGTATTCTGCTAAATTAGTGTGTCAATTTCACATGCTGCAACTTCACTGAATAAGTTTTATCATTGATTCATTGGGATTTTGGGGGGCTTAGTGCTATACCATCAATAATTGGAGGTAGTTTCACTTACCTTTTACTCATCCCTATATCTGTAATTGATTTCTTATATCTGATTGCATTAATACTTCTACAGCATTGAATAGTAGGAGAAATAATGGATGTTCTTACCTTGGTTTTCATTATATTGGAAATACACCAGGTGTTTCTTTACTATGTAAGGTACTAACTGTAGGGCTAAGGTATGTGTGAATTTTAGCATAATGTGGAAATATCCCCCAGTTTCCTGTTTCTATGTGTGTTTGTATTATCTGTAATGCAAGATTTTTTAAAGCTTTTTTTGATATCTCTAGATATATTTTTCCATTAAATACATATATTATAATAGAGTTGTGTACCATTTAATGATGTTTTGGTCAACGATGGACCATAACAGTGGTTCCGTAAGATTACAAAAAAGTAGGAAATTTTCTACTTAGTAACATCATAGCCATTGTACCTTTTTTTTTTTTTTTTTTTGGAAGTACTGGGGTCTAAAGCCAGGGGAGCTGCATCACTGAGCTGTATGTACTCTTAGCCCTTTTTATTTAGTTATTTATTTTGTGACAGGGTCTTGCTAAGGTACCAAGGCTGTCCTTCAATTTGCAATCCTCCTGCATCAGCCTCCCAAGTCCTGGGATTGCACATGCTTCTACTCCTAGCTTTGTATTGTTATTTTTCAATGTGGTTTTACTTGTGAAAATAGATAAGTTTGAATAAGCTGTGTTACCCTGGCAGCAGCCTCATCCATCTTGTGTTTACCACATCAACGGGTCACATCAAGTGATTAATCTATACCATCTAGGTTATGCATTGTTTATAATAAAGAAAAGGCATAGATTGTTGAAGCTTAGTGTTATGAAAAGGTGCAAGAGGAGTTAACATTTGCACTGAATCTGACAGTTCCAGAGGGGTTTTAACATATAGGAAAGTGAATCAAGACAATGAAGATTAGAAATAATTTCAGAAGTAAGGTGATATACAGATCCATCATAGACTTTAGATACCAGACTACATTTCCCAACTCATATGCCTCTTCTAGTTCATTCTCTCCATTCCACTTTGACAAGCATGCCCTCTCTGTAAACAAGCTTACACTTTGCTTTTGTTTTTATCTAATACATCTGCCACCATTCATTTTCCTATTTTTCCCTTTTGCTAGTGTCTTTTAGATATGTAGCAAATCCTTATTTAGATATCACTAATATTTCCTCTATAAATTTAGTCCCAATCACATTAATCATTGGCAACTTCTTTCTTTTCTTTTCTTTCAGGATATAAGAGCAGTCTTCAAACCACAAAGTCAACTCAAACTAAAGACTTCACATTTCAAGGGCTGAGGAGGAAAAGACTAAAAAGGGATGAACTCTGGGATGTTATATCAGAAAAACCCTGTATATCTGAAAACAGGTTAAAAAGACAGCAAGACAAAAATGAAAGCTTAAAAATATTTCCAGTTACCCATAAGAAAATTCTTACTATAGACAAAAGCCATAAAAATTTTGAATTTGGCCAAAACGTCAGCCTAAAATCAGTTATATTTAAGAAACAAAGGATTGCTAGAGAAAGAACACCCTTAAAGTATGAAATACAAAGAAATAATTTCAAACAGAATGCAAATTTACTTAACCAACCAAAAATCAAGACAGCAGAGAAACGCTATAAATGTAATACATGTGAAAAAGCTTTCATTCACAATTCATCCCTTCGTAAACATCTGAAAAATCACACTGGAGAGAAATTATTTAAATGTAAAGAATGTTTGAAAGCTTTCAGCCAAAGTTCTGGTCTTATTCAACATCAAAGAACTCATACTGGAGAGAAACCCTACATATGTAAAGAATGTGGGAAAGCCTTTAGCCATAGTGCATCTCTTTGTAAGCACTTAAGAACCCATACTGTGGAGAAATCCTATAGATGTAAAGAATGTGGTAAATCCTTTAGCAGAAGATCTGGCCTTTTTATGCATCAAAAAATTCATGCTCGAGAAAATCCCAATAGATATAATCCAGGTAGGAAGCCATCCACATCTCTTCCAGGGTGTCAGAGAATTCATTCCAGAAAGAAGTCCTATTTGTGTAATGAATGTGGCAACACCTTTAAGTCTAGTTCATCTCTTCGTTATCATCAGAGAATTCACACCGGAGAGAAACCTTTCAAATGTGGTGAATGTGGGAGAGCCTTCAGTCAGAGTGCATCACTTATTCAACATGAACGAATTCACACTGGAGAAAAGCCCTATAGATGTAATCAGTGTGGAAAAGGTTTCACTTCTATTTCCCGACTCAATAGACATCGAATTATTCATACTGGAGAGAAATTATATAATTGTAATGAATGTGGCAAGGCCTTAAGTTCCCATTCAACACTTATCATTCATGAAAGAATTCACACTGGAGAGAAACCCTGTAAATGTAAAGTGTGTGGGAAAGCCTTCAGGCAGAGTTCAGCTCTCATTCAGCATCAGAGAATGCACACTGGAGAAAGACCCTACAAATGCAGTGAGTGTGGGAAAACATTCAGGTGTAACTCATCCCTTAGTAATCATCAGAGAATCCATACTGGAGAGAAACCCTATCAATGTGGGGAATGTGGGATGTCATTTGGCCAAAGTGCAGCTCTTATTCAACATCAGAGGATTCATACAGGAGAAAAACCCTTTAAATGTAACACATGTGGGAAAACTTTTAGACAAAGCTCCTCACTTATTGCACATCAAAGAATTCATACTGGAGAGAAACCCTATGAGTGTAATGCATGTGGGAAACTCTTTAGCCAGAGGTCTTCCCTTACAAATCATTTTAAAATTCATATAGAAGAGGGCTCCTTGAAAGCAGATTTGCATGTGTAAAAGCCTTAAACCAAAGCTTATCAGAGAATATGTACTTAAGATTGATTTATTGAACATTAAGAATATCAAGAAACTATTTTGATAGAGTCTTCATTAGATATTAAATTCTAAGGATTAAACCTTGGCCATGTAATCATATATGAGAAAAATTTTCATACCTGTCATTCGCTTTTTCTTTTTTTCCTTTTTTTTTTTGTTTTATTAGCCATACTGGGGATTGAACCAAGGGTTGCTCTACAACTGAGCTATATCTCCAGCCCTTTTTATTTTTTGAGACAAGGTTTCACTATGTTGCCCAGTCTAGTTTTGAATTTGGCAGTCCTTCTGCCTCAGCCTCCCAAATTGCTGAAATTACAAATGTACACCACTGAGCCATTTGTCATTTACTCTTTAAAATGTCCTGCATAGACACTTCACAGTTGCAGACATGATAATAGCCATTTGTAAGATAAAAGATGGGCTTTTTTTAACCCTGTCTTTTTCAGCATTATACAACGTGCAACATGTTAATATGGGGGAAAAACATCTGGGTTCAGGGGTGCTGAATTTCTCACTAGAAAAGCAACTGTATAAACTACTAGCATATTTATTACAACTAACACTTTTATAAGAAAGGAAAGAATTGATCTTAAAAATATATGCATTTTTAGAGCAAAGGACCAAATAAAAGCAGAAAACTATGAGCTACCTCTGAGTGTCTGTAATTCAACTTTTCCTAATGTACTGTCAAACTGTTTGCATGGTTAACATTTAAAAAAATAAAAGACAAATATATGTTCCTTTTTGGTTCTGGTAACTTTATAAACTATACCTAAAAGGCTCTTAAATTTCTACACAATTCCTAATTTTGTTTTCAGAATAATTTTTCTTAGTTGCTTTGAGGTCATATTTATTATTAAGCCATACTTGCTATGCTCTGAATAGTGATACTGGATAATTTAAATAGAACTTTAGTTTATTTTGGCAATCATGTCAAGATTAAAGCTATGCCGGGCATGGTGGTGCATGCCTGTAATCCCAGCAACTTGGGAGGCTGAGGCAGGAGGATCTCAAGTTCAAAGCCAGCCTCAGCAAAAGGGATGCACTAAGCAACTCAGTGAGACCCTGTCTCTAAATAAAATATAAAATAGGACTGGGGATGAGGCTCCTTGGCTGAGTGCCCTGAGTTCAATCCTCAGTACCCACTCCCTCCCCCCCACAAAAAAAGATTAAAACTATATTTCTCAGTTGGAAAAAAAAATCCCAGTATTTGGGAGAAACTATAACCAGTGGAAAAGTCTTGAAAAGGAATAAGTTCATGAAGTAAAAGTTTATTTTTTCACTTGAGGTCTTCTAGTTTTTACAATTTCAGACTGTAAAAGAAAAAAAAAAAACGTGAACTTTGGAAGTGGTTTACATTTGTTTATGCCTAGGCTTAGGCCAAGGACTATCCTGGGCACTAGAAATTGTATGGCTGAAAAAAACAGGCTCTCTTCAAGAAGTCATTAATTTGTGTAGGAAATTGGAAGTCAAAGGAAACAGCAAATGAAAAATTGTCAGTGATTTTCACAGAGAACTAGGTAATTTGTGATGTTATTATGTTGCAGAACAAACAGAGGTTTACAGGAGGATGCAGAATAAAGGGATGAAGACTAACCAAGGGAGCTTGGAGAGACCAGAGATGATGTCTCAGAAACAGTTATACCTGTACCCAGATTTGGAAGAATAGTAGGAATTCTTTGGAAGGTGAAATGAGTGTTCTAAATAGGGGAAACCACATATGCAAAGTTGTGGCATGGCACAGTTATAGAAAGTCTGTTGTTAAAAGAAGTAATGAGACTGAATCTTGAGAAGAAAGCAGAAATGAGATAGCAAAACATCTTATTTGTCATAATAAGGAGTTTAAATTTTACCCTGAATTTTATGGCACAAATTTTAAGTAAGGGAGACTGTCATGGCGACAAAGGGATGAATTTAGGATGTTGAACACAGCTGAACAAGTTTAGTCACATAGGCTGCTACAGTCATTTGATAGGTAAATGAGTCTCCAAACACAAGACAGTGAAGTAAAGAATATGTGACAATATTAATGCTGTATAGAATAGATAAGGCATAGTCCTTGCAATTGAATAATAGTGTTTGGTGAGTAAAAAGAAGGGTAAGTTAGGTTTGTTACCCAGGTGGATGATGGTACAGTGCACCAAGACAGGCAATTTGAAAGTTATTGAGATTGATTTTGTACTTTAAATTTGGCACACAATTTTAGGAAATGTGAGTTTGAAAACTAGAATTATGAGTAAAATATAGTAGGTAGTGAAAATTATGATGCATGAAATTGGCCAGAAGAGTGAATAGATTAAAGTGAGAAACAAAGGGATCATGGATAAAACTATGTAAAAAATACAGAAGTTGATGGAGGTGTGTTGGGTGGGAATGGGAGGAGTAGAGCTAAGATCAAAAGGAGCAGTCCTATAAGTAGGAGAAATGCCATAAGAGTGATGACATGGATCCAAAAGAATTGAATCACAGTTCATGTGTTGATCCGAAAGTCAAGTAATAAGGAAAGAATAAATTGGTAACTAAGCAGATAGATCACTGGAGATGTTGATAAGTACAATATCAGTAAAGTAGAGTGAACAGAAGCCAGATTGTTATATGAAGGAGAAACTAATAGCACATTAAAGACTTTCAGGAAGTTTAAATGAAGGGAAAAGAATGATTTAGGGAATATGTCTATTTTAATGACTTAGGCAATAAGATTTACACACATTGGGAGTGGATTAAAGAAGATGTTACTGGGTAGGCTGGGTGTGGTGGTGCTTGCCTATAATCCCAGCAGCTCTGGAGGCTGATGCAGGAAGATTGCGAGTTCAAAGCCAACCTCAGCAAAAGCAAGGCACTTAGCAACTCATTGAGACCCTCTCTATAAATAAAATACAAAATAGGGCTGGGGATGTGTCGCAGTGGCTGAGTCCTCCTGAGTTAAATCCCCAGTATTGGAAAAAAAAAAAAAGATTACTGAGTAGAACACATTTTTGAAATATTATGAGGGAATTCTGCAAAAAGGTAAAGAAATTAATCTTAACTTTATGAAAGGGGGAAGTCTACAGAGAGATGGGAGTGTAAATCAGTTTTATTTGGAGGTAAAGGAATTTCTGGTTGCTGATGTATTTTCACTAAGACAGGAAAAAGATCTTGATTTTTAAGGCGCAGTTAACAAGCCAGATGCAGTGGTGCACACCTGTATTCCCAAATACAGCAGTTCAGGAGCCTGAGGCAGGAGGAACAGAAGTTAAAAGCCAGCATCTTATCGAGGTCCCAATCAATTCAGCAAGACCCTGTCTCTAAATAAATATGAAAAAGGACTGGGTGTGTGGCTCAGTGGTTAAGCACCACTGGGTTCAATCCCTAATAAAAAAAAAAAACAGCCCTTTCTATTCAGGTGACAAAAACTTAATCATAGTGGCTTCAAATCTGTGCTTCTGGAGTTGTTTTATTATTTATTTTATTTTGTTTTTCCTTTTTAAGGAAAGCAGGAGTTAATTCCTTATTGTTTCATTAAGAATTCTTCACTTTTATCAGTTTTGCATATTTGAAATCTGTTACTTTAGCTTTTTTAAGGAAAGGATTTGCTGATGAATTAAACATTGAGAACTACTCAAGGACAGAGAACACTTTTAATAGAGTGAAAATTCTAAAATGTAGGACTAGAAAGAAATGTAGGACTGGAACAGGTATATGAAGGTAGAAGGAAAGATATTCCAAGTAAGGAAAAAAGCATACACTGTGGCAAGAAGTCATGAGAGGACATAACGTGCTCTCTGTAGTACTATAAGTAGTATTTTTTAACTTCATGTTCTGTTTTTTTACTAGTGTGTAGAAATACAATTGACTTGTATATTGGCCTGGTATCTTGCAATTTTGCTCCATTTACTTATTTTTAGTAGTTTTGTTATCCAACCATGTAATCTGTACATAATTACCATGTTATATTTTTCTTTTCCAATTATAACACCTTTTATTTATTTTTTTACACTGCAGTGCTACATAGCATGGTTCAGTAGAACGAACATTGAATAGAAATAATAATATTCAGTATTTCTCTGTTTAATAGATTAGCAAACAAATTGAAATTTATGTATATCTGTTATGAAAAGGGACATTCTCGTTATGAAAAAGGACATTACTCCTTGTGTGCTGAGTTTTTATCATAAAAGAGAGTAGTATTTTTATCATATGCATCTTTTGCATTGATTGAAATGATCATATTGTTTTTCTCTTCACTATTTTAATAGAGAATTACATTGTCCTAATTTTGATGTTCTATTCCTGAGATAAGTCCTTTTGGGTTATGATGTATCATCATGTAGTGTATGTGTGTGTGTATTGATCAGGTTTCTTCCCTAGTAGTAACCTGATTGAAGTTACTAGGAATGTCTTCCAAAAACTTAAAAGCAGAAATAAATTTTTACCATCCAATTATGAAGCATGGGTGAAATAGCAATACCCATAAGAGGAAGGGGGAAACAAGGCCAAGAGTACTGCAGTGGTGAGAGGCTCAGAGGAAGAGTGAATCCAGCATCTGTAGGGACCCACATGGCTGGAATAGAGTGCTCCTGATAAAAGAAAAATGCTATTTGAAATGAAAGCCAAAATTAGGCTGTCAGAGATATTTTGAATGGTTTCTTTAGTCTAAAAATCAAAGAGTTTGACATAATCCTAGGGGAATTATTAATTGACTCTATTTCTGGGGAGCAAATGTTTTAAGGAGAATGTCTGATGGGTCAGTCTTTTCAAAGATAATTCGTTCAATCTGGCTTGAGAAATTGATGGAAGAACTGCTTCTTGGAGGAGTTTGGGAGTCTTTAAAAAATGTTCTCAGAAGAAAAAAAAAATACACTTCTGTTCCTAGTGACAATTGTCTGGCATTTTGCCAAACTCCAAGCTGGTAAAATTCTTAATTAAAGCTCATATGATAATTATTTTTTCAAAATCAATATGCAATTATCTTTCAAAACC